CACATTTTACTGCCAACTGGTCTTTCTTACAAAAGCTACAAAAACAATGCCCACAGAGCACCCAGTTTCATGCAACTCTGCTACTTCATTTATTTTAAATCCTCTCAATATTGACCTTTAAAAAAATACACATATATCTTTGGGGAAGGGGAGGCCTGCTTCTATCTGGTGAGGATAAAGAGATAACCCCCCAGGTAGTGCTGATTTACCTTTTCCATTTTTCCGCTTAGACTGCTGCCACATCTTACAGCCCTAAGGAAAGGCATTACTAGGCTTATTCTGATGGCTAAGGTAGGTAAGTGCATATCTCCCAGGCAATTAGTGTTCTTTTAGTCTCTCATTCTTGACCATAACTGGTGTTGAGAGGTGATAATTATCTCCAATTCCAAATTGGAGTTTATAAAACAAATGTCATCCTTATTAAAGGGGATATTTGACTTACCAAAAACTGGGCGGAAAAAGAAAGTGGCATCTATAGATCTATCAGTCAGGCCTTGAACGTAAATTCAAATAGCAGAATAGAAAAAGAATGTTCCCAAAGAATATTTAAGGTGAATCCTTCTGAAGAGCTTGTTATTCACCTCTAAAGAAAAAGAAATAAGAAGTATGAATATCTCAGGAACTCCAAAGAAGCCTTTATCTTGTTGCTGAGATGACTTTTCTAGCATTTGTCCTTAGTCCCACTTAGTCCATTTAATCCATGTCATATCATTCTTTGATACTTCCTTTTCCAGCTTGGAGAGCTCAGAGGCTCCGAATCCAACTGTTTTCCTCTTTCTGGAAGAGGAAGCAGTAGATATCTCTCTCCCTTTTAGAGACCAACTTTTGCTTTATTACTCCCCTTCGATAGAAGGGGCAGGAACTTTCTGAGAAATCCTAACCTTTTCCCTTCTCCCTTATACCTGCAAATGGTCAAAGAATTTCTAACTGCTTTAAGTTATGTCCTGCAAAAACATAAGCTTTGTTTTTCTGGCAAATATTTTAAAATAAATCTTATTTCTAAAAATTAGTGCCTGTTTAGTCAGCACTTTTCAGTTATCTAAAATTCAACTGATAATTGTGCTTTAAATTTTCCTGCCCTGTTGCTCAGCAAGATCAAACAGGAACCCAATTTTGTCTGATTTTTAGTCTTTTGTAAGTAATAGTATCACCATTTTCCACAACATTAATAGATAGTGGATATCATGAACTCTAAATAGCATAACCAAGTAACTTCCCACAAAATATTTAAAATATCAATAAGCACCAAATCATAGCTTCTTTTATGGTAATAGTAGCTAGCTTTGCATACAAGCTACAGTATGTTTCACAACTACTAATACAAATTTAACTTTTTATTCTCTAAAAGTCTAAGAACAAATATCCAATGATTCTAGCATATAGAACACTAAGTTTTGGACTTATTGCTACATATATTGCATATAAACCCTTGTCATTGTTTTATCTTTTCTTTTAGTAATATTAAAATAGATTTTTTCCTACAAAATTAACTTTTCCTTTGCTATATTTACATTTTCTAAGGGTTTCTGTGATACAGCTGGTTTCTGAAACTGTGCAGTAAGGGCTTACTGATGCCCATAAGATCTCATGCCAAGTTTCCTTGTTTACTGTAATGTTCACAAAACAGTGGAAAACTATCTTTTCAAGATTCTTTTTTTTTTTTAGATATACATATACAGCCATGATGTCTTTAAAGTATAAATAATTTGCTTATAGCATGATTTTAGCTTGATTCATTCAGCACAAGGATTTTTTTTAAAATAATCTTATGGAATCATCTGTTACCCAATCAAGTAGTCCACCTGTAAGTAAAGGGGCTTATGTCATGTTCAAGTTAAAATTCCTAGCTGATCTTTGGACAATCCCTATCAACTGTCTCCTTCACTGGAGACGTATTTCTTTGAATATGGATAGACACAGTATGTGCTTACACTTGCAAAATGCTTTTGTTTTCTGTGAACCTAGCAGCTCTGTACAAACACAGGATCCTGCTCTGGCTACAGTTCCTCATGCTGCTTCCTGAAAATATGCTCCTTCTGCATTCTGTAGCCTCCTATGCCTAAGCTTCTGCTTTGCCTAGCATATTCCTGGGAATTTGACATTTGCAGTCCAGCTTGGCACTGTCTTATTTTCCTTCCAAATCTATTTTTATTCTTATTATATAGTAGTTTAGCAATTTAGTATCACTTTCGTCTAGCCTTTCTCTTTCTCCTACAAATTTTAGCTAGGCTCCTTCATCATTTTTAATTTTTATTATAATTATAATGTTGTTTAAAACAAAGATCCACAGCCTTACAAACTGGCTTAGCAGATTTACACATGCTATAAATGCTTTAAGTCTTTCACTTCCAAGAGAGAGAAATACAGGGACTCAGAAGAAGGGTGTTGGCAGCAGCTCTGTCATTTCAGAACTGCTCAATTTTAAGATACATTTATTAGTAACCTACTTGTCCTTATTTAAGTATAGGCTGCCTAAAGAAGTAACTGCCTTTTGCACTTTTTTTTTTTTCATTTTTCATTAACACTTGCTTTTATTTTATTTAATTTCTTGTTTAGACTTAATTATATGATCTCCTACCCAGTCACAGAATTTGGGCTTTTCTAAAGTCTTTGCTTTCTGTTTTACCATCCTCTGGTTTTACTTTCATTTGTAGTATCATATATTAGTAGATAAGGTTACAATGAACATATAGTTTAATGAGAATTACCAGGACAGTTAAATACTAATGCTAAGGTTTGAAGAAAAAGGTTGATGAGCTAGGAGAGAGATTCAAGTTTCTCTGCAAGGCAGACTAATTGCTAACTGCTAACTAAAACTGTTTGATCTAGACTCTCCAGAGGATATCACATGGTAACTCAAGTCATTTAATGAAATGTTTGCTTACATACATACCATTGACCATGCCATACCTCTTAACGTACTAGTTATATTATGAATCTCCCTCAAAGGGGTTACATTTTAACTCACCAATAAAAAAACTAAAATAAAACCTACACACTCCAGCACATCAAAGAGTTTAGTATGTCAGCTCGGACAGACTGTTATGTCTTCAGTTAAAAGCTTCAGTTAAAAAAGCATATAACTATAATCAATGGATAGAAAATAACTCATTTTAAATTTATATTTTAAACTAATTTATGGTGTTATTGTGTAAGATTAAAAATTTTTGAACAAAGTAAGCCTTAAAAGGATATGCAGCTATATCCTTTTGAGATATATTGAGATACATTTCCTCAAATCATGTACTAAATTCTTATAAAGCTTAAAATAAACAGTCTCATAGTCTTCAAGAGTGACCATGTAAACATGTCATCCCTGACCCTTATGGTATAAGGGATGGGAGTTTGCCCTGAGGATTTGAATAGCACCTGTTATAGAGGCATAGGAGGAATAACTAGGAACTAACTGTCACACAGTTGGCTAGTGCATTCCCATATTCCCTCAAATCTTTAAGGCGAGAATAAAGAATTGCTGATTTGGTAAATAATTTAAATCTTGGGCTCTTTATTGAGTCCTGTGGGGAACTGTACGTGTGTGTGTCTGGTATCAGTATGACCTACCTTGTTCTACATAAAAGAAACCAAGATTCCAGCTCACAGTAATTTGGATGCCCTCGGCTGAACCTTCTCTGGTGGCACAGATGGCTGCTGAATACCAATGCCCACTGCACACTTTGTTGGTGGTGAAGAATGACATACCTGACTCTGTAATCAAATGGATGAAGAACCTGCGAACAGCTGAGTGTCATTGTCTCTTATCTAGGAAAAGGGGAAAAAAGGAGGCGAGGGGGAAGGAAGCTCTTTTATGTGGAGCTCAATTCACAGCTCAATTCATCTGGATTTGAATCCAGATTTCAGTATTTCAGAGCAGAAGATCCTTTAAGAATCACAGCCTGCATGCGAACATAACATTCAAATGATGGGTTATATTTTCAAACTTCAGAGATTCTGATATAAGGAAGGCTGGGTGGGGGACGGGAAGCGATCCCGTATGGGAATGCAGCCACATGCTCTTTCCTGCCTCTACACAGCAGAAACAGCTCTCTTCCAATCCAACCAATAAACCTGTATTTTATCCATATATTAGCTAATTAGTTCCTGGAGCAAGAATCAGAATCTTTCACTATGTTATTGATTTATGCCAACATCTCCATCCCAATAACTGTGGAATTACTTTATGCATAGGTCCAGAAGTGGAGCAAGGAGCACTCATCTCCTGGCAGGGGGCAACTAGTGCCTCATTCCTGGGAGGCAGTTCTAACAGTTTAGGGTGAGGAGGGGGCTGCATGTGCCATGACATATGTAGGGGAAATACAAGCTCTGCTTTGCTTTCCAAATATATGTTTTGGACACCAGTGGGACAGAAATTATTTCAGGCAAGCTGCAAGTAAAGCACCTAATTCACAGCTCCTCTCCCTTTCTTGTTCCACCTTTCCCTGACAACTTGCTTCCAGCAGTTCTAAATATGTGAGATTCTGGGTCCTTCCTGGGATGTTTATTCCCCCTGCAGCACTTAAGGGAGGCTCTGGTTTGCAGTGCTGCAGCAGACGCACAAGTTGGGTATTGCTGCTCGCACTCTTGTGGCACCAGAGGAACTTAAGTGGATTTAGTCCAGAAGCAACATATGGGAAGATAAAGAATGACAACAAATGAATAAAGGACAGACAGGACTATAGTGCTGAGAAAGGAGGAATGGAAAAGATAACTACCAAAATCAAAGGAAAAAGAAAAGAGAAAACCAATGAAAACAGAGGTATCAAGAGGGGAGAAGAGACACATGGCAAGTTCCACCTCAGAATCTAAAAGAGAAAAAAAGGGAATTAAAGAAAAGAAAAATATCTCTTCTTGCCTCTGAAGTAATGTTGCCACCATATGTACCCTAAGAGGACATTTAAGGCAGAAAACACTACATCCATAAGAATCAAAATAGCGGGAAAAGAAACCCCAGCGTTTTGGCACTCACTGGAGGAGGAAAATCAGGCTGACAGATAAATGAATTATTGAACTTTTATAGCTGTAAAATACAAACATACACACCAAGACACATATCCTTCCTCCATTCCCAAGCCTAGCCTAAGGCTCCCAGTCCTAAGCAGTGTGCACACAAGATGAGTTGCAGCTTCTTCCCCTAATCAGCTTTTGGTCTAACTAACATGAGAGAAGTCTAGATCCACAAAAAGCAGACTGTGTTTAGCAATATAATGGAGTCTGCCTATCTTCTTCTGGAGAAAATGCACACAACTTTTATCACTTACAATCCACATATTTAGTGTTATTGCTACCTACTATATTGGAGATGGAGCCCTTTGGTGAGGTTCTCCTCACAGCTTTCCCTTCTGCCTTCTAACTGAGCATTCAGCAACACTAGAGCAAGAGCAACATCGGCAATTGGCATTGCCAATTCAAAGGCAGCATCCTGCAAAGTTTTTTGTAAACTAGAAGTTTCCCACCTACGCAGGTGACAAATTGAAAACCTGAAGAATTAGGTCGAACAGCAACCTGATGCTGCGGTGTAATTTCCTCTTGTACTTCCTCTTCTCCTGTGGGGCTCATCGCAGATTTATCTCTGTGGTGGCACAAACCACAGGTTTTATCTGCCCCAGAAAAGCTTTCTTCTTATTGTTTCCTGACGAAAAATAAAATTGGTATTATTTCTACTCTAGGAATAAATAAATTAGCTTCCACACTAGGCACAAGAAGCTCACTGCAATCCATGCCTTATCCCTGCCTCTCACCTGGTTCACTGGTGGCAACTCCTACTACCAACACTGTATTTTACTGAACCTAAATAATGATTAAAACAATTACCTACACTCAATGTATCTTGATGTTCAAATCAGTATCTAGTTAATAAATTAGAGAGGGATTGAAGCACAAATACTTTAATTTCAAGGAAATGTTGTCTCTGTAACACAAGTGTGCTGCAAACAGTTGTAGCAAATCACAGTTCACTTGTTGAGAAAGGGTTGGCTTGGCCAAGTGATCAATCTGCTTCTCTGCCTGCCAGGAACGGAGTTTAAAGGATTGCATCTGCATTGGGTTCAATAACCAATAGTAGAGCTTGCAAGTGTATATAAACCATAGTAACTGGAGCTAGTCTGGAGCTGTAACCGAGTAAATGCACAGAAGTCAGCACAGAGAAAAGGCAACAAAAATATACAAAGATGCCTATAAAATACCAGGGGCAGCTGATGAAACAAATGGGGCCAATATGTGCCGGAGGGAATATGCAGTTCTTAAGTCCCAACTAAATGACTCATCCTCTAAACTTACTAGTGCTGCTATGCTAGTGGCAGCACTATATTAAGCACCATCCCCAGGCTGCCTTTTCAGAGAGATCCAAGTGCATCTCTGCGGCTGTGGACACTCAACAGTTCATATTAAGTGTACTCACACCAGGAAGAATTAAGCTGCTACTGAAGCATTAGCTTTCAGGGCAGGGTAGTTTAACAAGCAGCAATGGGTATCACCAGTTTCCAAGAGCAGATCATGAAATTAACTTTAATTAAGCCATGGACCTGGTTCCTAAACTGTAGAAGAAAGTGCAGATGCTGGGTTTTTTTTTTTTTCCCCAAAAACTTTGTTCCAGTTCAAAAGTTTTCAAAAATTGAAACTTGAATCCATTTACATTAAACTGTCAAAAATCATGCTTATAAGCAAGTAAGAAATAACACGGACTGGCTTGTACAGCATCTTTCCTAACGTGACACTTAAACCCAAGAGCCTTTTTGGAAGAACAGGTCATTACCCCAAACCCTCACAATGGGAACATAGACACAGTCAGAAGGATGCCAGTAACATTCACAGAAACATTCAGGTGGACATATACAGCAGAAGCAAAGAGCACTGGCCAGACAAGTCATGGAAATCCAGTTAGCACAAGAAAAATCAATGGCCGAAACGCTTACAGAACGCACCATCCAGCACACCGAGTCTCTGGAGAGGGCAAAAAAGCAAAACTGCTTTTTATAGTTACTCGTTCTTAGCCACAGAGTGTGCAGACACGGCCTATCTAGACAGAACCTTGCCAGAACCTGGGTAAAAGGGCAGCTAAGAGTGCCTGCCTAGTCAGGGACTTGGATGCTACCTGGAACTCTCCGCTCAAAAAAAAAAAAAAAAATAGATAGTTGCTTTTGAATTTATACTTCAAGCCAAGCAGCACAATATACTTTACAAACAATTTTTTTTTTTTTAAAGTCACAACCCCATCTTGAGAGTTATTTGGATATCATAAAAAGTACAAGCAGCACCAAAACCTGACACTTTGACATTTTGCCTAAAGCTTTGACCTTCCCAACACCACAAAGAGGTGCTGTGGAACAGCACTGTGATGCTCAGGAAGCAAATCATCTGACAGGCTTTAATGACATAATTTCTTGCCCATTTCACATACTTAGGAGGTCAGAGCAACTGATATCACCTTGTATTTTCATAGTAACTTAATAGCAATTCAGTAATTTAATAGTAACTGGAATTATTATAAATACCAGTGCTCTATATTATTTTCCCCTACACTGTCTTATTTAAGAATATAACTTAGGTGCTCCGAATTGTCCCCAAAGGCATCCATAGATCTCTGTTAACATAATAGGATTTACAAGCTAAACTTAGTCCTTTGAATAGTATATAAATCAAGTGTTTCAAAATTAATGGAACATTTCTGTGATAAAGTTACTGGAATACCTATTTTATAAAAGGAATAAAGCCAAGAAACATATGAAAAACAAGACTGCTCTTTGTCCAGTAGATATTAATGAAAACAAGCAACACTGGTATTGTTGCACTTCCAGAGCAAGGAACAAACTCATAGATGCAGAGTTACTACCCCTCAGTACTGCTTAGGGACCAAAACAAAAAAAAATCATATCCCTTTGGATGTACAGGAATCTGAATTAACTTTAGAAATAGGCCATTTACCTGCACAAAAAAATAGATTTATATTTTAGATATATATATATAATCTTTAAACAGAAAGTGATTTTAAGTTTACAGTAGTAAGCAGAATTTCAGGTTAAACTAGAAAATGAGGGGATTAGGCTTCTTCTCTCTTCTGAGAAGCTGGTAACAGTCCACAAGGACTTAAGTTAAAGAAGACTAAGCTGCTCTGTAAAGTCCCACTGCAGTTGTTCTTGTCTTTGCTGGGAAGAAGGACTAAGAAGCAAAAAAACAAGCAAGTAGCCTGGATAGCAAGAAGAAGCCTGGAGGCCATTCAGATGAGCCTGCCTGGGCTCAGCAGTGAGGAATAGATACCTTTTTTTTTTTCTCTCTCCTTTATGCCGTCTTCTGCTTGAAAAAAAAAAAAAAAAAAAAAAAAAACACTGCAAATATATATGAAACCTCTTAAAAAACTCATCACATTGAAGCAGTCCACATACAAAACAAAATCATGCCATTTCCACAAGAATAAACAAAAGTATTTGACTAAAAGTTACCTAATTTAGTGTCCTGAGAAGTCTGGTATCCCAGCTCTGCCGGTCTCCAATGCTTTGAGAGCAAATAAATAAATAGTGAGTAGCAGAACACAAGGACTCTAAAGGAGTTTACTTCCACTCAGTTTAAGAGGCCACTTCCATTAGAAAAGAGTACCTGCGATTCACAGTAGATTTTTCAGGATCACAGGCCAAAATAATCCACACTCCAAAATAATCCAGAAGATTTTCATTGAACTTCAGCATACTGGATACTTGGCTGCTTCAGAAATCTAGTCACTAGAAGCCTCTTTGTTTCCAGTGGGATTTCAGTCTATAGCTATTTTAGGTTTTTTTGTTTAACCCCTTAAAACAGGACTCATTTTTTATTAGTAAATTTATACAATTCATTTAAATCCTACCACAATCCCTGTACTTTGCAAAAGATAGCTTTGTCAACTATTATAAAAGCAGTTTCCTAGGGATCAAAAATGGTCCTTGAGTATGAATAGCAGTAAAACAGCCTTTCCTCTGTACCTAAGGATTCTTCCCCCCCCCCCAACTCCCCTACCTTTGGTCAAATACCATAAATACCAGCAAACAGAGGTTTTGCATTAACTGATACTTAAACTTCCCTCCTCTGCCTAGCTTTAGGCTACCCGCCCCTCTAACAATAGCCAGGCCTTCCCAGACAGCTGCTTTTAATACAAGTCCTCGTTAAGCCTTCAGACTACACCCCTATCCTCCAAACTGTGATCAATGATTGAGTCAGGATTTTACCTCTAGCCATCAGGGTGAAATAGGGCTGTTGCATCTCACTGCACTGATGCTTTGCAAGCTCTTTACCAGTCAAAACTTCTGCAATCCTTGCCTAGGTAACACCTCCAGAGTCCTCAGGAATATAAAAGGACCTATAGCAGTACGACCCACTAAATACATTGGTATTTTTTTCCCTGGGGTGCAAATTGTAAGAAGACAGCTCACAAATGACAAGCCAGGTCTTAACACATCTCGCACAAAGCCGATCTGCTGGCACCATTGCTCCTACAAATGCTCCACCAGCTGGGCGGCTGTAGTGGAGCCAGTTCCTTCCTGAGCAGCAGCAAGACCTCTAGGCAGCAAAGACCAGAGCAGCACCAAGTTCTCACTTCTCAGCCTGATGCTGGGCAGCACGAGCTGCTGTTTTAGCCCTTGATGTGCTGGGAAAAGGCACTATGGAAAGCTACACTACCTGGCCGTGAGGTACCCCTTTACCTTATTAAGGACCAACATGTAAATCAACATGATAATACTTTAGGCATTATATAAACTGTGAGACCTAGTGGCTGGCTTAATATACTTTTAACCTAATGTTTCACTCCAGGCTCCCACTCTAAGATTTGCTCTACACAGCTTCCTTGCTCCTTTCTACTCTTCCAGATAAGAGCTAAAGAGCAAGGGCATAAATAAATAAATAGGCACTTTGCCTGTTCCTGTATTTTGAGTAGAAAAAGGGAACATCCTCAGTGTAAATTGGAAAGGGCAATATCCATGAGCAGTGCCACAGCCTTCCGAACAAGGAAAAATAACAGGAGCCCAGAAGGGTTCCATCAGGTAGTAGAGACATTTTTCGTAAGGGTGAACAAGCTCCTCAGTGTGCGGCACAGCTAGTTCCTCAAGTGCAAAGGTGCCTGACCACAGAAAAGTTGTGGTAGGGGAGAGCATATTTTCTGATAGCAGTGCGTTAAAGGAGGGAACATGCTTAAGAAAATTAGCAAGAAGAGGCCTGTTTCAAAATCCAGAAGACAACAAGAGATTGCAGTAAATGAGGTTGAAAGCATCACCCAGTGCAAACAAGGGTCAATGGCAGAAATAAAGGTGATAGTCTTTCCAGAGGTGACGTAAAGGAAAACCTGGCAGATCATAATCTCAGTACCAGTGACAGGCGAGAAGGCCAGCCCAAAATAATACCACAAGCCGAAGCAAGTTTACAGCAGGAAGAGTGGACCTGACAAGGGTCAGGTCTCAGGGGAGAACATGGATCTCAGTGTGAGAAGCAAGGCTCTCCTGAGTTATTTTGTTTCATCAGGACCACAGGCCTTCCTCCCACCTTCCTGGCACACAACCGATGGTGCAACGACTGCCACAGCACTTGGTCTCTAATGCTTTTGTGCTTTACTGCCCAAGGCTGCAAACTTAAAATATATCATCAAATGTATGCTTAAGGTTAACATGCGTCTTCCAGTATCTACAGCAAACCTGAAATCAGTTTTCTCCTGTAGGTCCCCAAATAGTTGCTTGAGTGCTCTGCCTTCTCCACAACAGAGCCAGCTAAGAGTTAACTGCGTGCCAAAGCTTCTGTAAGTTTGCATGAAAAACTTTATGCCAAGCAAATCAAAAAATTATAATAACTGAGGTAAATATTGCTCTAAAATTTGTACACAAGAAGCTTTGAATCCAGTAATAGTCCACCTTAAAAAGGCATTCATAGAATAACAGAATCGTTAAGGATGGAAGGGACTTCTACAGATCATCAAGTCCAACCTCTCTGCAGACAGAGGTATATCTAGATCACAGGGCACAGGGCTGCATCACAGTTTTTGCAGCAGGTTTTAAAGATCTCCAAAGAAGGAGACTCCACAGCCTCTCTGGGCAGCCTGTTCCAGGACTCTGTCACCCTCATTGTCAAGAAATGTTTCCTTAAGTTCCTGTGGAACTTTTGGTGCCTCAGCTTGTGGCCATTTCCTCTAGTCCTGTCACTGGCCACCACTGAAAAGAGGCCACCCCCTCCTCCTCACTGCCCCCCTTGAGGTCTTTATACACACTGATCAGGTTCCCCCTCAGCCTTCTCTTCTCCAGGCTGAACAGGCCCAGCTGCCTCAGCCTTTGCTCATAGGGCAGATGTTCCAGGCCCCTGATCATCCTGGTAGCCCTGCGCTGGACTCTCTCCAGCAGTGGTATTCTGCAGTAAAAGAATAAATCTTACTGTAGGATTTTGATGTTTGATGTTTAAATCATAAATCTTATGATCTATGTAACATCTGTAAACTCCAGAATGGGACATCACATAGAAACAACCACTACAACCAGCGTCAGTGAAGTCTAGCATAGGAGTGAAGCACTAGCTCCACGCACCCAGTGCAGGCCTGCAAGGCTGGAGCAACAGCTGCTCCTGCACATTCCAGGGCTTCATCCCCATCCCCGAGAGCAGGAACTGCTCGCACGTCATCCAAAACCAGGAAACTTTTACATGAATGCAAGTCGCTGAACTGCGTGTTTGGCGTTACAGTCCTGCTGAAAGTGTACATAAAAAGTATATAAATTCAGAACTTGTCCGACTTGGCTGTTGGATAGCTTCTTTACAGCCACATGACAAAAATAGAAGAAAAATAGAAGGCTTTCTCAGAGCAAACAGTAATTTACTTGGGAACGCATTAACAGTCCTGCTTTAAACGCTGACTCATACTAGAGAAGCACTGACACAACCAAGAGGCACCATCATCCTAGTCGCTTTATCTGGACACAGTGCAAAGCTCTGCCCACAGCTAAGTGGAAGACATGGAAGACATATATATATACACTTATGTGTTTAGGGACAGGCATAGAGAACTAAAAAGAAAAATATGAAAAATATAAAGGTATATTTAAAGTATTATTGGTATCACCTTGAAAATGATCTTTTACTTTCTGCTGTCATGATGCTTAATTGTTGTTAGACAGAGGGATCACGTTTTTAAGTCAACACTTCATCCAGAAGTTTGTGGGCATATAGAAGTGGATTTAAATATAGGGACTCCTGCAGCTTTCTCTAGGATGGCATTCACGAGAGTGTCTTTTCCTTTCTCTAAATATGCTTGCAGATGACAAGAGTGCCTATTTAATCCTTTTTCTGAAGGAGTTTCTCTTAGCCACACATGGGATAAATAAGGCAGACCATGATAATAACTGCTTCTAACAAGCTGCAAAATGAAAGTGGCCTTGCTGCCTATGAAGGGTGAGACTGAAATCTCAACATGAACCCTTTGTATGCACGGAAACTTACTTTTCGGATAAACACATGTAAGAAATGAGTGACGAGCAAGTAACACACACAAATATGTCAATGGGATAATGTACAACACTTGTTATTAGCACCTGAGCGTAGATGGGATAGCAGTCAAACATACTCCAGTAGAAATGCAGGCTGAGCTGGAGGAATGCTGAGCTATATATACTCTCCTAAAAGCCAGAACTAATCCAAAGTAATTGTACGACTCAGGCATGCAAAACAGCATCCAGAGGATCTCAAGGATGTTCTTTCAATCTGAAACTTTCCTTTAGTCTCTAGAGGGTTATCTCACATATAACTCTAGGCAACGAAATAGTAATAATAGTAATAACAGTAATAATAGTAAACATGTAAAAGCAGAATACCCAGCTCTGCACTGCAGCTTGTGTTTTGATAATTACTGCTCTCCGCTGGACTTTTGGGCTGTGTCCTGTCTTATGCAACTCTTTATCTCAGAATATTTATATTTCTTGTCCTAATAACACACATCATTCTTCATACTGCTGTTGAATTTCTACTTTTTTTTCTGAAAGGACATGAGCACGACTAGCACAAAAGAGGAAACTCTTCCAATTGCTCTTTCTGAAATGCCTGCAATGAGCCAGCAGATGGCACGAGGAAACAGCTAATGAGCCTGGCCCTCGCTAGGTGCCGTGCTCAAGCTCCGTTGCAAATAGTTGCCTGTCTATGACCCAAGATTCCACAATCTCCTTGCTATCTTTTCGTTTAGTTGCCCTCCAAGTATTTATACAAATCACTAATGCTAATTTAAACAGAGCAATTATACTAATACTGCACTTTGAGATGCTGTTGGTATAAGTGTTAACCTTGGCATCTCCATTGACTGTTACGATTAATCTCCTGTTTCCAGCAGCCCCTCACTACTACGTGATGATGTGTGAGCAGCTCTTTTTCTCCTTATGGACAGTTGCTTTTTTCCCCGTTATCCCTGATACCAGCAAACATAGTTGTTGCCAGTTGCTTGTTTCAGTCAAGTACATATGAAATCTATTTTGTAAGTGAGAAAACCAATAGTTTATATTAAGAAGCTGCACTGGAAGACTAGGAAAGCTGCAGAACTTCCTCAGGCTGGGTAAGGAAAGTTGCACAGTCGGCCTGGTTTCCGGAGGGAGCGACGACAGGCGCTGAAACGCCGCAGCTGCAGGAACAGCACTGATGCACGGGGCATGGCCGAGCTTTGCCAGCTTCCACAAGCCCAAGGCCCAGCACAAGGACTTGCTGTTCTTCGGCAAGCTTTCCCAAGAACGTATCTGGAAGTGGTTTTAGCACTCAGTTAGTTGCATAATAAAATACACAGTTTGCTAGGAAGGGCAGTGTTTTGAGCTACTGAAATGGCTATGACTGTAGTGAAGTTTGTTTACTTTTCTGTGGTGACATTCATTTGGATTCCTCTCTACTGCCTAACGCCTCAAATTACCTCTTGAATCAACACTAGAAATCTGAGGAGGTTCTGCTCCTTATCTAAAAGTAGAAAGAAGAAAAA